TCTGATTAGCTCCTCAGTCTCACAGTCATGAAAAAATCAAATCAGGTATACATAGAAAGTAGCAAAGTCCGTTCGTTTCTTTGTTTGTCGGGGCTTCAAAGTAACAGATGTCTAAGACAACACAGGCGCAATGCCAATTGACGAACTTTTAAAATTAATATCCGTAACGTTAAGTGCGTGACGAGTAACGCGCTATTAAACAAACAATGTTTTTTGTTTTTTTTTTAATCTTTGAAACGAACAAACAGTTTATTTTTCTTAGCAAATAAAAGTTAACTAAATATTTGGCCGCGTGGTCGTAAGCTTGAAAACGTCGTCCCAGTTTTTTTTACTGTGCAACAGTTCGAACACCTCCTTATCCCGACATTCGGAAGGGACAATGACTGACGTCCTTGACAATCTGATTAGCTTGTGCAATTGAGGATGTCCCTATCTCAGTCTGCCTGCAGTTGCCATACTAACCTGTGTCACTTTGTTTTTTTCTAGAACATATCGATGCGTCGAGACAATGGCAAGGCCACTTGTTATTTGGGGCCACTGCCAAACGACTTGCCAAAACCCGCTGACCTAAGGACTGGATTGCAAAGGGTACGAATATCGCTGAAAAGTTTCCAAAGACCCGATATAAAAAAGCACATGGGGCAACATTTTGTTGTTGTTTTCTTCTGTTTGTTTGTTTGTTGTTGTTGTTGTTTTTTTGTTTGTTTTTTTCAGCGACTGTGAAAATCTTAAAAAGTATTAAAAATTATCAATATGGTTGCTGTACTGAGTCTGTGGCGGAGTGAAAAGAAATGAAGCTTTCGAGGTTGCCCGAAAGCCATTAATGATTAATTAACTTAAAAGGAATTTGACTTACTACTATTATTTTTGTCTTCTCAGAACAATAACGTTCAATGCTTCGAGAGTTCGAATTGCCTAAAAACTTTCCCCAAATTTTCACTTGCCAGTCGGGCAAGCAAAGAACAAAATTTACCAACCCGACGACTGCAAAACCCTTTAGCCCCTGGCTAGCTATTGTACACGACTCTTACGGACATTCAGTGAGCAGCACAAGATTTGTTGATCCTACGAATTTCGATTGACATTACAAACTTTTTCAGGGATATG